AGAGGATGCATTAGGGGGTCTCTCCCCGGATTTAACTCGCACTGTAAGCTTTTGGGCAAGTGTGAAGCTAAAACCCGCTGACCGCCGAGTAGCGGGGACTAATGGGACTGACTGGAGCACGGTGTTAGGGGCTGTCTGTGAGGGACATGCAGGGATTTTGGATTCTGTTCCGGACAGGCCTGCCTGGGGAGGAGACCCCGAGTCACCCATTCTCCAAGGAACCGGTCGCATTGTTCCTTTAATATGCAAGTGCAGCCCTCTTGGGGAAAACTCTCTCAAGCTTCTCGTGCCATTTGGTTAAGAAAAGTGTTTTCCCCCTTTACCAGAAAGTTCTTTCCAGCTCCACTCTCCTCTGTTCAGCTGAAGTGAAGGGGTGTGTACGTTTTTTCCCCTCTGCTAACGGGACACTGCTGTAAGACCATGCCCCCAGGTTGCACTTTAATAAATGGTACCGTTTTCAAAAACGACGCGTAAGCTACTTCTGTGCTTTTTCCACCCCCCACCCCATTCTGGTACGGACACAGAGACATAATAAAGGTGGGTTTAGGGCTGCAAGACGTGACCAGTGTCTGGTGGGAAGCAGCAGTAGACGAGAGGAACGCCATGAGAGCTTGCACCGAAAAAAGATGACAACACCAAATAAAGATCCGGGTGGCAGTTGAAATTCTTATGAGCTGTATTGCTCTGAGAACTGACAATTTTAAGTTACAAAAAACACACCCCCACATATATTTACATCAGTTCAAATCTTCTGAGGCAGCTGGATCACAGGTGAAACCTTTGCCACCTTGTGTGAGATTACAGGGGCATATGGAACCACCCGAGTCGGTTAAACCTGAGATGCCACTGCAGTACACTCCCAAGAGACACTAGGTACTCTTCCCCATCCAAGGCAGATACCTTCTTCCTCTTTACAGCGAAATATTCTCACATTAAACGCTTTTCCTCAAGCATATCCAGACTGTTCCCTGAAGGAATGTGCCCCGTACCTACCCCTGCCCCTTGCTCTTTCAGTTCGGTTTTTCAAGCAAGCACAGGTTTACGATGATGGATAGTGAAGCACCTTGACTTTAAGCCTTCCCCGGCCAAACCCCCCTACTTCCGTGGGGTTGTGTCCTCGTGCTGCCAGCTCCCCTCTAAGACAGACCCGATTATTATTTTATTTACCCCTTGGGGATGTGTGCTGATCGATCACCCATTCCGCCAGCTGAGGCTGCCTGGGGAAGGATTACACGGAGCACGGCTCAGCACCAGGAGCAGGGCTGGAAAGAGGATAAGTAAAGCAAAACACTACAGCTGATGAGGCAAACGAACCGAGGGCAGGCACTGTGCCAGCAGCATCTCCACTGGACAGCGTCTGTGCAGAGTTTCCTACTGCCAAGGAAAAAAAAAAAAACCAACCCACTAAAAAACCCACTATAGTAAAATGAGAGAGGGCAAGCACTACTCCTTACGGGTACCAGCAGAGCTGGCAGGCAGCTCATGCCACCGCCATCGCTGTGCTAGTCTACAAAAGCCTACCTACGAAGCTCTGCCTTCCCTTTCACAGCTGGATCTCAAAAGTTAAGAGCAGAAGTGATTTGGATACATCAGAAGTAAAAGAAGTCTTCGAGAACCTTCATTCTCCACAGAGAGGGCCGGAGAGCTCACTCACGCAGCTGCGGGGAGACAGAGCCAGCGTTAACAGCGACGGAACCGTCCCCGCAGACGCCCCCCGCGCCACCATCACCCCT